TCTTGATCAATGACTTCGTTTTGATCAATACCTGGGTGAATTAGTTTATGTGTGCATCTTTAATCAGATACCCTGTCTTTCGTCAAAACGAGATCTGTTGACGAAACGACTCAATCTCTCGTTAATATGGCTCAAATACAGCAATGGCTGGAGTCCTTTGCAAACAACCTTGTCTTTCAGGAAATCTATTTGTTTTTGATTTGGTGACCTAATAGGTCACCAAATCAAAAACAAATAGATTTCCTATATACCTTTATCATTTTATAAATTCCAGTCTGCTCGTCTGTTTTTTACACAACCCCATTCCATAATTAATTTAAGTATAAAATTCGGCCCATCACTGGTCGTCAATGTAAATTTTGCAACTTGCGAAATTATTTACGTCATCGTGAACTGTCTAAATCCATTGTGTTTAGGTGTATGTGACAGATCTTGACGAGCTCTTTCAGATTACGTCCAACACATCGCTATATAAGATAAATACTTGATGAGGAATTCACGAAAGAAAAAAGAAAATAATCGGCACGTCACTGGTCGATCACGTTATTACTATTAATAGTACTAGTACTGCAACAATATAACTTCATGCGGTTGCGCTGCGCTTGCAATACAGAGAACCGAGGAAAATGTAGAATGTGGACACCCCCTAAAAACATAGGGTCACCTCTGTAATTTTATCGTTTTTTTAATTCATCATTCAAGACTAACATTCACTATTTCAAATGATTTTGGCCGATCCAATTCGTCAATTCAAGTGCTGTTCAACTATTGGCCAGTTCAAATATGAAATTCAATTCCATGAGTCAGCATCGCCACAACCCACAACTCGAATGGCGGCGTCAAGACTACAGCAATCGTGGTTTCGGTTATTCTGGTGGACAACTTCGATGTCCATATTACTCAAGCGTCTGCTGAGGCCATAGTAGGTGACCTGCACAGCATCTTGGAGCCACTGCCACCCAAGAGCAACTCTATTTGCCAACCACTAGACGTGGGGGTCATGGGTCCCATCAAACTGATCCTCTATATGCTTTGGTTGGAAGAGACTCCAGTCAATTCTGCCGCTGAAAAGCGTCTCGCGATGATAAAGCGATCCATCAAAGCCTGCAAAATGATTACTCCTGATGCCATTAGAAGATCATTTGAAAAGCCATTGCCACGACTACTACCTCCGGCCAGAAATAAACCAGCCATTTGGTGAAAATTGATAAAATTGGTGTTTTGTTTGGTGGTGTTATCTGTTTTTGCCCTAAGTATGCTTGTTGCATACGTCTTAGTATAGCCAGTATCCCTGTGGAATATAATACCTTAAAGATGAATACCCTAAGGGATAAATGGGTACCAGAAATGCATATAATATAAAGTGATGTTTTGTCTTGAGGACTTGGTTTTTCTTGTTGTACTCGGTAGGAGGGTTCTCGAGGTAAACCCCCTCCTGAATCCCTGAATCGATTGGAATGTGTTTCAAGTCATGGATTGGAGCTTTCGCAAAAAAGGCGACATGTATTTGTAATGGTACATATGGATAAATTCCAGTGTATTTAATCCAATCATAATCTTGACCTCGTTCTCCTACAATATAAAATTGAAATTCTTGGCATTCTGTTTTCCCATAGAAAACGACCTGCATGATAGGTCCAGTTTTTCCTCGGTTCTCTGTAGCGTCACTGTAGTACTGTGCATACTTCGAAATAAGCTTGAAGAGTCGATACATACAGTTGTTCCAAGCACATGGCAGTAATATGTCCAAGTGTCGTGAACGATGGAAAACCGCCTTGCGATGCTCCATTCTAGTATACTGTACTACACCATTTTGCAGTTAAATTGGACGAATGCCCGATGTATTTGGTGGTGTACCCGATATAATTAGCCATGTGCCCAATTAATTTGGCACACCGAGGTCATGTGCCCGATATATTTGGCGGTGTGCCGATATAATAAGCCGTGTGCCTGAGTAATTGGCCACTTGCCCGATGAATTGTGTCGTGTGCCCGATGAAAATGGAATAACTCAAATAATTATATTCCATGGAGTGCAAATCAGTTGTGGTGGAAACACCAGTGGTTGAAGTTCGGAGGAAAACGCGCGAAGGCGGTACTATCTGTCAATGGTTATATATATATATATATCCAATCATATCTGTTATTCTATTGGAGAATGAAGCTTGGCAAATCACTGATGCGTTGGCAAAGCACTGATTGCCCACGTTAGTAAATATATTCAACAACTAAAAGCAATTAAATTTTGACTAGAGGTAAAAGAATGATTGAAATAAAATTCCTAGGGTTTTGTATGGCTTGTACTTCGAAGTATACGACAGTAAATATGGCTGACGACATTTTGATAGGTATTATGAGTTATCTCAAAATAAAACAACAATTAGCGCCTCATATTTGGGCAGGAAATTTATTTTCAGAGTACGAATCGAATACAAAAGTCAGCACGTCAGTCTGACAAGAATCTTGACGTTTGACCCCCCGATGGCTCCGCCTACTGTTGAAGAGAATTGAGTGCGCTTCATCGTATACAGTATGCAAGATTTGAAGGATTTGACGTAAGGCGCAGTACATGTAGGAGTGCATCAATATTGGCATCTAAATCCTGGAAGGTTTGAGTTTCTACCAATTCGATTGCTTCATTTCGAGTTGAGTGATTTTGATTGGATATTACCGTATAACCTATGGCCTTCCGGGTGGGAGGTATTTCACAACCAAACGACATTGGTGCTTTGACTCTAATTTTTCCACTTAGGTATATAAACTTCAGTACAGCAAATCATATGAACATTGCAGTTTTCAGCTAATGATTTAAGATCGTATAAAATAATACAGGTATTACAATTTCACAGTAGAATACAAATTGAAACAAAATTTATTCGTCGTTACTGTTGACATCCATATCGTCCATTGGATCAATTGTGTCATCAATAGCGCACCGCGCTACTAATTCAGACAACATGTGCGCTGAGCCCGCATCTTCAGGCGATTCAGCAATTTCCTCCTCTTGAACCACAATCTTGCGATTATCGAAGCCATTCATGATGATGAATTCATCCAAATCTGACCACGATTCCGTAATCCATTGCACAGGAGTCGGACGCTTCGGGGCTTCAAGCTGTAACGTCTCCTTCTTCGCCTTGCTTCGTAGGACTTGCCGAAGAATACTGGGGAAAAAGGCCACCCACATCTGACGCAGTCGCGCCTGTATTTGTCGGATCCACGCGAAGTCAGCAGGTTGACAAACATAAAGGAATCTTCTGCAGCAGAACATTCAACTCCGCAGCACACATGACGACTTCATCAGTAAAGTGCGCTGAGAAGTCGTCTCACAACAGCAATACCTTCTTCGTGTAGCCGTCGAGTCGGGCGGAAAAGTGGAGCGCAGGAAGTCCACACTAATCCCAGAGTTCCACCATGCGGTGGGATTACGGTAGATGCGACAACCAAACTTGTCCTGAAGTGGTTCGACGTCCTTCCACAAATTCTTGCCGAGCCCTTGCCGTTGCACCAGGTTCTTCTGCACGACGGACTTGATCTTCGACGCCTTGGTCTTTAACACCAGAAACAATGGGTACTGCTTGCTCGTCGAATCAGCCATGACCATCTCTGTCGCACGATTCTTAGTCTTGCCACTGCACTTGGTCCAGATGGTATGGTCCCCCTTCGAATTCAACGTCTTGGTGGGGGAGGTACTCATAGTTGACGCCGGTCTGATCCGCGTTGTATATGACGTCGACGTTGTTGTGACGGAACACCTAAGCAACACGAGCCGCGAACTGGTCCAGTGTCGTTGCACCGTCGCCTTGAGTATCTTGCCCGGTGCGAGGCTGAGTATGCAGGGCAAACTTGTATCACTTCTTGAGCCTTGGAGCCATGACCAGCTTGCGGTGAAGGCACTTTCGTCCAATCCGACGTGAATTGTCATCTCCAAGGCCATGACTTGAATCATTAGAGGGGTCACCGGAACACCGCCAGTGCGCATTGAGTTGACCAATTGAGCAAGCTGCTCTTTGGACTCCTTCGATAGCGTTGTCGCCATGCCAATCGCTCGTGAACAGAGGTGACGCGAAGTCTTAGGATTAGATGTTTTAGACCTAATGTGATCACGCTGTATAAGCCAGGAGTACAGCTTCTTACGAGTAGAGACCAACTTGGCGCCACTGGGATGGGAGAAGTGCTTAGCAAGTGTCGCCGCCATCCCAACGCCGTCAAAGGTCTCGATGACTGCTTGCTTCACCGCGAACGATACGTGGACATTGCTGTACTTCTTCCAAGGTTTGGTGGGGCCTTGTTTGAGGCGTGGACGGCCACGAGGCTTAGTTTGAGGCATCGTCATTTGGCTGCTGTCCATTTTGAAAGGTGTGGAGTGACGTGCCTTGTCAAGAGAGCTCGAGCGCGCAAAAAACCTCTCAAAATAATTTTCCCTTTATGCATTGATAATATATAAGTAGCTGGAGTATTTATGCATTATAAAAGGTTATATTGCCGCGAAAGGCGAACTTGTATCATTTTTTGCATTGCGTGAGTATATGAGCATCAATATATAGAGGAACCCGGAAGAACATAGCCACCCGGAAGGACATAGGTTATACGGTATATTATTCATGGTTCATTTTTTACAACCGCGATTGTCGTGATTTGGTGCTATCTTATTGCACCTAATGAATAAAAATACTCCATTGACCAATGACCTCTGGGCCAGTAGGGTGGGGCTGTTCGTGAAGCATCATGACTTTACCTACTCTAAGGTGATGAATGCGTAAAAGCGTGTTGTCGTCCATACTGAAGGATTTATCATCTAAAGAAAATCAATTGAAGTATTGTTGAAATGCATACTGCCATAAAGGGCAGCTGGTGGGACTACATTCAAATTGAAAATTGTGGCTGGTCCGAAACCCCAGAATCAATCAATACCCGATATTTATCGATGTGCGAGTGCTGCTGCGCTGAGCCCCGTGATATTAACCAAATCGCACACATACAGTCTGCGCCAAGTGAATACGAAGGGGCAATATTTTGACCATATGTAGGTAGACCTACGCACTTGAGCATTTTTTCCTCTGCAAATCAATACGACGAAAGATGATGGGATAAACACCCTGTGAAATACAACAAGAAAACGAAGCATCACTGGATGTGATATGGCGCGGAATCAGATTTTAGTGTGAATACGAAAGGGATGAATTTCATCGCACACAGATAGATCCAAATATGTGGTTTCACAGGTTGTACTTCGGCACCACCTGAGCAACGAGCCTTCAATCTTACTAAAACCCACAACTGCTACTTAAAACATGCCTCGAGGTGAACTGTTCACTGAAGAAGAACCTGGCATGATGTTACTCTACGCTTCGACAACAGATTTATCGGACCGAGCATGCAAAACGGATCTCCTACTGGACGCACCCCTGCATACAATTCAACGATGACTCAACGAGAACGAGAGGTTCGAGTATGCCAAGCGATTGTACATGCCGTCCTTGACGAAAACACACAAGTCACATCGAACGGAGTACGCCGAAAGACACCTTGCCGGCAACACGATTGGGATACCATCATTTGGTCGGACGAGAATTAGTTCAACGTGGATGGCCCCGATGGCCGGCAGAAGTACTGGTATGACAAGCGGCTGCCGAAACAGCATTATCACACGCGTCAAACTTGACGCGTGTCATGAGCGGGAAGAGTGTCATGGTATGGGGGCGTTTTTACTGGACGGCCGGAGCGAATTGGCGGTTTTGTGGGGCAAGGAAATTGCGTTGACGTAGCTCGACAACTCTAAAACTATCTGTTTCCGTTTGCCCATGAGAACTATGGCCTTTATTTCGTTTTCATGCAAGATGGTGCCGGGTACAAGTCGTCATGAATTTTCTGGGTGAAGAAAATATCACCGTATTTTTCATCCCGCCTAATTCTCCGATCTCAATCCTATCGAAAACTTGTGGTGGAGGGTAGCTCAAGTGGTGTATGCCAAAGAAAAACAATATCGTGATGTTGGGTCACTTGTTGCTACCATCCAGTCGACATGGGACGACATTGTGAGCTGACAAAGCTGGTTCAATCGATACCTAAGTGCCGTGTTGATGTTATGAAGGCGAAGGGTTGTAAGGCTAAGCATTAGGAATACTTTATGGTATGGATTTGCATCGGTAACGTAAACGGCCACTTTATGGATACTTTTAATGAGGCGTTGCTGGAGAATTGGCATAACTTCCTGAAAACTGGTCATATTTTGATTTCGATTCTTGCAACACCAAGATGAAACGCAGAACAATCCAGTATGACTCACTCCATCGGGTCTTGAGGGGATTGTTGTGTGCAAAACAACCAATTTTCAAGGCAATTACACTTGACTTGAGTTGACGGTTTATGGATACTCTTTTATACTTAAAATATGTATGCTCTCTTGCATACTTTGTGCTAGGGTAGGGTATTAAAATTAAACGGGTAAATATGTATTTGAGGCAGGTTATTGATTCAAAGAGTAGGCCGCACATACCACATTTTACCAAAAGACCCAAGATGACCACAACGGCAAATCTAGCCACATCAAGTGAAGTACCCAAAAGGTATGAATGCATTGCTTCATCTAGACAACAACACTGTCCACCATGTCGTCTTTGTCTGATTGTGGAGACTCGTAGTCTGAAGAGTCCGTCGATGTCGCTCCCGTCGCGCGCTTGGGTGATAAGCTGTATTATTTTGTGGAGGTTTTGCCGCTCAAAATCCTGGAGATTCTATTGGCTTATCCGACGTATCCATAAACCGTCCAAGTATCTATAAAGTGGCCGTTTACGTTAACTTCGCTAATTTCAGTTTTTTGTATCCTATCGTGTACACTTGGCGTAGCAAAACAAAAGTGCATATTTGATAAAGCAAATATTCACCCAGATCACCCACCGCATCGCTGGAGCTTGTTTATTAGTCGGTCGTGATGGTGGAATATATCATCAGATCGCAGACCTAAAGCAGTCAGTAGGGAGACGCGAGAAGAAATCGCAAACTCCATCGCGTAGGTGGACGAGGATCGGATCCAAAGCAGGATCAGATAAGTGCACTGCTCGGATGCCAGCCAAGAGGTCCTGGTGGACAGTGGAGATGGAGAAGATCTCCATGTTGTCAAAGCACTTTGACAACGTTGTCGCGGCCAGGCTTGTATTCAGGATGAATTCCGAAAAGGACATCTAGCGCTGCATGCACTAGCAGAGACGCGGTGAGTGGACGGCCATGCGTAGTGATACGTGGTCATTGAAGACTACGAATTCCCCCGAACCAAGAAGGTAGATACGAAACTTCTTGAGGGCATAGTAGGGCATAGTACCTCTCCAGCAGGTCCAAGTCATGAGCAGGATAGTTCTCCTCCGACATTTTTGGAGCTGACAGGATTGGAATGACACCGGGTGATTGGAGCCCAAATCGTCGCGCTGCATATGGCAGCAACCGATGGCGCGAATGGATGCTTCGCATGTCTCGAAGAAGGGTCTGGAATAGTCAGAGCCAGAACCGGGGCCGTAGATAGGCTCAGGTTGATGGCCACTTGGCATTCTTGGGACCATACCCAAGGAACGTCCTTGCCAAGTAAGCGTAGCATAGGGCATGCCAGTTTGGCGAACTTTGCTGAGCACTTGTGTCGATAGGTGTCGAGTCCCATCCAACTGCGCAGCTCGGAATAGGAACTTGGCGTCGGCCAAGCTTTGATCAGGACCACCTTGGCTGGGACCGCTCAGCAGCCGTTAATGCCAACACAGTCGCCAAGGACTGGAATCTTGGATACCCCGACGGGGCACTTCGAAAGGTTCGCTATACATCGGAGTCTCGCAGGGTCTGAAACCTCAAATGCAGGTGTACATCCGCGTCGGATTGCGACGGACTGACGCGATTGTGGATGTAGACTTCGTCGAAGTAGAAGGGGCAAATTCGCGAAATGAACGGAGCTTCTCTGTTACGATGCGATTGAAGGTAGCAGGATCATTCTCAGTCCCTGGGATATCGCCAGTCATTCCCATAGTATTCCACTGGGTGTAGAGACGGCTGTTTTGTCTTCGTCCCTTACGTTCATTAGATCTGATAGAACCCATCGCGAAGGTTGATGATGGTGCTGAAGATTGTGGACTATCCCAAGGAGTCAATTATGACATCCTTACGCGGGATCGGCATCTGCGCCAGAATCATGGCCGAATTCAACTTGTTGTAGGCGTGAACAATGCGCCATTTCCCGTTGCCTTTGTTGACACAGAAGCTGGGACAAGAGTGCAGGTGGAACGATCGTAGGGGATAGACGCACAGAACTTTCGAAGGTCCGGAGGTTCGGACTTCACGACCTGATTCTCTCGGTTTTACCAAGAGGAGCAAGGAGATCCAATGTTAGGCAAAGGTAAAAGTGAACTATCTAAAAGCTAGCTAAGATCAAGTGACCTCTGGGGAAGGACAGTTGAATTCGAAGATAATCGACCCTTCGAACAAATACACGCTTGTTATGACAGTATCACGAGTCATTGAGTGGAACAAGCCGAGGCCAGGCACCAGCTCCGTCACAAGTCCCGCGGCGAAGATTCGACCCTCTCGTCGAATAAGAAATTAATTGACGGAGTGGGGTGGATGGCGTTGGGTTGGTCCAAAAAGGGTAAAAGCCCCATATTGCACGTAGCTAGCTAGCAGAGGCATTAATATAATGACTGGTGCGCTGACTATGGACAAAGCTGTAGATGGCGGGGGCGAAAGGAGGTGGCGTGAAAATGAGTGGTCACGGAGCACGGTACGACAACGCCATGTCAAATTGTACGGCAGCACCCAGGGTCATGTGCTGGTTGTCTCGACTGGACGGACATAATACATATCCCAGACGAGGAAAATATCAGCGTCGAAATATCCAAAAAATGTTGGATTGGTCAGTCGAATAGTTCGTCTGTGGACAAGTCGATTTTGAGTGAAAACGTTAGGGTAGTTGGTTTTAGTGGCACCTTCCATATCGCGTGCTAGTTGGTTAGCGTTGATATGACTAGAATTGATCCCGCGTCTGAGACTCCACGTCCAGTTCCAAGAACTGCTTCGAACGCCGAAGTGGTGGCAACCCCATGTCCATTCGTCGAGATGTTTCAAAGTCGTCCACAAACATTGATATGCGGTCAATTTGGAGTCGGCCATCCAGTTGTAGGGGCTGTCTGCATGCTCGACCAAGTACAGTCACCGAGGGAGTGATTCGCGTGGTACTTCGAGTTTTCTGATCATGCTTGTGAATGATTGGCCGCCATACTTCGAAGTACGACAAAGTTTGCAGCCAACGAAAGTGACTGGTCTGTATTTTTATTCGCAGCTCAAATAACAATTTGTTGTTTTGACAGGTTATGAAAAATGAGAGCACTTCCACCGCAATGGGTGAAAGAATTTCTGCATTTGGTTAAGCAGGGAATTACTTCTTGAAAACTTAAGAATATATTACGATGGATACCAAAGAACGAGGTTAAAGATGAGCGCTTGACGCGGTGGCGCAATGGTTAGTCGACGGCAGGGGGCCAGGGTTCGAGCCCCGGTCAGTGTCGAACTTTTTCCACCTTTATTTAAATATAGATATTTTATAAAAATATGAACAAATTCCAATACAATCCTTTCCAAACCAATATTGATTTCACAATTAAAAAGAATGTCAAAGAGTGGCTGTCGTTCAAGCACTTGGAATCGCTTTGACAAAGCTCTTGCGCGAACGACGTCTTCACTGACTTTCTCCCAGGCCCCGATCGCCCTGTTGATCATTGCGAGACGCTTTTGCACAGCACAAGGTGAGTAAAACTCGTCTTCATCCTCACCATCGATGATTTCCTCGGCCAACCTCTCGTCACGCAGGAAACGTTTGAACGGCGCCATGGCCCCTACGTCCAATGGCTGGTATTTGGAGGTAACGGAACCAACAGACGGCTGAGCTCATCCTCAACGATACTGTGGGACTCGAAGTTGTCGGCCAGAATGACAGACTGCGCCTCAATACAAGGCAGCAGCAAGGTGCGCAGGTCCAGTTTCCACATATTGTTGTCCATCCAGGCCTTTTGCTGAACAGCGTATACGTGGCCAGAAGGGTAGGTTGGAAGCTCGTGCATCTCGATGCGGCCACCTGTGAAGTCCCCGCACGATAAAGAGAAGCGGCAACTTGGATCCATCGGCACGCACGGTAAGGGCCACAGTCATACGCAGGGAGTGCATCTCCCCAGAGGACACCTTGGCATCGCCTCCTCGGATCGACCAGATGTACTTGGGTGGCGTGTCGTAATAGAACCCAGTTTAATCGACGTTGTAGACACTGTACAAGCAATGGAACTCGTCGCGGACTTCAGCCAGTGCGACTTCTTGCGGTGGCCGGCGCGTTGACGACTGCAACCGTGGCGGCGGCAGAACTGCTGAAGGAGACGGAGCAGGCTTTGGTAGCCAGTGCCAGCTTGCTTGTCAACAAGGTAGAGCCGAAGCCATTGACTCTGGTAGCGCTTAATCCAGTTGATAATGTGAGTTGTTGTCAATGCTCGTTCACGAACTCGCATTTCGACGATAAAGTCGACCAAACCCTTTGGGTCAGGGAACATCTCCCGTCGCCCACCAGGGCTGACTTTCATTCGCTTTTTGTTCCCTTGGAAGGCGGTGAATTCGTCGCGTTGATCAAACCAAGAACGTATGGTGCTCCGGGGTATGCCAATGTTTTCGGACACCTTGTAGTCCGACATACTTGCCATCATAGCAAGTGCATCGAGTTTGACTGATATAGCGTAGCCGCGCTTTTTAGTCCGAAGGGTTGACAAGGAGCTCATCAATTCGTGAATGAAAAGTGTGGCACATATTTAAATTAACTCGCGCCAGTGGGAAAGTATTTTCATTATCCAATCACAAGTCGTTAAACTTTGGGTATGATATTATTGGATAAAATAATTGTTGCACGTTGAGCAAGTTCAATAGGCGAACCTCTCCCTCGGTGACTGTACTCCCTTTCGCGGGAGTTTGGTAGTTGGCGGTGGTCGCTCACACGGAAAGTCTGCGATGATGCGGACGAGTAGGTTACGTCGTCATCTGGAAACGACGCACGTTCGACAAAGCAGGACGTGGTAGGCAGTCTAGCCACTGTTCGTCATAATTCTTCGTCGCCCACTGGGATATCGTCATTGAATGGACGCGAGTAGTAACCTCGGAGCGGCTTGAATCGGTCGACGTTGATTGTTACTATCATGTCATGGTGTGGCAATCTTGTACGTGTTGGGTCCCGTCTTGCGTTCGACTCAGAAGGGTCGATGCCAATACGTTGCCAACTTGGTCGTCCGATGGTCGTCTGGCAGAGCCGACGTGGCGAAGTATTTGTAGACCCAGACGGCTGTCTGTTCGCCAAATTCGATGGGGTTTTGGCTGGCCTTGGTCTTTGCCCTTTTACTTTAACCCTTGATTAGTTGTTGCTTCACGAGAGTCCGTGTTTCTTTCCAAGCTGAGGCTAGACGACGCTTGTATTGGGGTCATCAGTCTTCCAGGATGCCTCGGCGTTCAGAAAGGCCAAGTCCAACGGCAGCGTGGGGTCTCGTCCAAAGAGACCGAATTATAGTGATGGCAATAAGTTTAAAGCCACCCCAAAATTGTTGTGTTGTGAAGCTTCTGAAGTAAGCTTGGCCATCCCAAGTTATGCAATCGATTCGAGCATGTATTCCATGGCTTCCGCACTGATTCAACCGCATTAAGCTATCCATGATTCAATCAAAGTACAAAAACGCAAATTCAGATTTTTACCTGGCAATAGGTATAAAACCACCACGTTTTTATGCTCTTCCAGGCGTTTTTAAGGCAAAAACACGCGTTTTTAATGCTCCCGCCCCTGTATTTGACCGATTCCCGCCTGAATCAACTTTGAAACGCAAGTGCGTCATGCCAGCCGGTGTCAAGCTCTCCGAAGAAGAGCTAGGCATGGTTTTGGCCGTTAAATCTGCCGGGAAAAGTCTCCGAGAGATCGTCTTCTCATTAGACGCTCGCGGGGTGCCATAACTCTATTCCTGATGGACCCCGCGGTGTACAACACGAACAAGCGGACGGGACGACCACCAATGGTCACACCCACCACCGACCTTCGCCGGCTCATTCGGACAGCTTCGAGCTCATGGAGCAGTGCCAGCTCACCATCAAGGCCCGCCGTGCCCGCCAATTGCTCGGAATGTGCAAGCACCTCAAGTTTGTCAAGGCCAAGGCTTCGCCAGTTTTCCCGGACAAGAAAGCCAGGATTCAGTGGGCCAGGGACATGCTCGTTTACGGCGCGGAACAATGGAATAATGTCGTCTTTAGCGACGAAAAGAAGTTCAACTTGGACGGACCCGACGGGCTCAAGCACTATTGGCACGATCTACGCAAGGAAAAAGGGATATATTCCAAGCGCCAATCTGGTGGTGGAAGCGTCATGGTTTGGGCCGCATTTGGTGCCATAGGAAAGACCGATTTGGCCTTTTTGGAGGGTTTGCAGGACAGTGGCGCCTACATCGGTACCTTGTCTGACTATTTGTTTCCCTACATCGACTACTACTATGGTCGTGACTGTGTCTTTCAGCAAAACAACGCCTCGATCCATGCGTCGCGAGAGACCAAAGCGTTTCTTAACGAGCATGGCGTGCCCGTTATGCCAGCGAAGTCACCGGACCGGACCTCAATCCGATCGAGAACATGTGGGGTGTTCTTGCACGTGCATTTTATGCACATGGGCGCCAATTTCCGACAAAAACCGACTTGGTTACTGCCATTTCCAAGGCGTGGAACGAAATCGGGCTAAACTTGATCGAAAAGCCTCTGCAGTCAATGCCGAATAGGTGTGGCTGTCTTAGAGCTCAAATGTGGCAAAACCAAGTATTAAGTACATATATATGTCACTACACATACAATTTTTGTGGTGGTCACAAACTTATCGCCAGGGCAAGTATTCACCTCACTCACAAAAGTCGCATATTTGGTTATGCTTTTGAAAGCACAAGCATTTCAATATCATTCCCACACGATCCAAGCTCATTCAATGTTTTTGCACAGGCACATTCGTTCATGGTGTTCTGCTGCACCAATTTTTGTGGGTGGCTTTAAACTTTTGCCAGCACTGTATGAGAAGTCTCCAGGGGTTTCGTGGTGGGACGTATAATGATACGCAAAAAGAAGTCGCGGTAGGTAGGTATCCCAGTCTGTCTGGTGGTCATTCATGTAGATCTTGAGCATGTGTATCATCATGTGATTGAAACGTTCCACAAGACTTTGTCCTTGGGGGTGGAAGGCCGCTGACGCTAGCTTGTTGATACCAAGCGTGGCGTACATGGTCGTGGCGAGTTCGGATACAATGTTCGGTCCATGGTCGGAGAGGAGACGATCTGGCACGCCAAAGCGACAGAGTGCTTCATCGATAAAGACTCGACTGTAGGTAGACATCTTCAGATCTGGTAGTGGGATAGCTTCGAACCATCAAGTGAAGCAGTCGGCGAAGACCAAGAGGTATTTGTTGCCTCCGTCAGACGTGGATAAAGGACCAAGCGCGTCCACCACGACAAAGGGAAATGGTCCGCGCAAGGAGTCGACTGACATCCGTTGTATCGGACCTTGTTTCCATGGACGACCGCCTTTGGCTCGATTGCAGTCCAGACATTTCGAGACGTAGTCATTGCAATAATGTTGCCAGTCTAATCAGTAGGCCGTTCGTCTCAGGCGTTCCCGAGTCTTCATGGAGCCGAGGTGTCCAGCAAAGGGGGGCGTGTGGGAAGCATAAAGCACTTCTTCTAGGAGCGTGTATGTAGGTATGACCGGGACGAGGACGAGATCGGGATTTCGAACGGGTGTCTTGAACATGATGTATCGGCAGAAGATACCTTGTCGGACGACGAACTGATGATTGTTTCGCATGACCAGTTTGAGCAAGTAAGGCTCCAAGGGCAAAGCGTCTTAGTCGAGGAAAGCCCTCAAAGCCACGATCCACGTGTTGTTCGCCTTTTCGTTGTACAGTACAGTCGGGGCGAAGAGTGGCCACGTCGTCATACAATTCAATAGGCTGGGGGTCTGAGGTAGATGCCGTCCGTTCCATTGGCGTAGAGTTAGCCTCGGATGGACTGGGTTGCTTACTCGTCGTGTGATATTGTTCTGTCTGGTCAGATGTCTCATACTTCTCGTCTGGATAGGACATACTGGTAGACGCGAGAGCCCGTTTGCAGCTCCATTGAGTTCGCCTGGTCGATGAATCACGGTGTAGTCCAGTCCTTGAATTTCCATGGCCTACCTTGCCAGCTTGTGGTTGCCCGAGCGAGATCCTTGGTTGAAGAGCCAAGTCAGAGCTTCGTGATCCGTGTATATTGTGAAGTATCAACGGTCTATATAAGGACGGAACTTGCGCGTAGCCCAGACGACGGCGTCCAGCATTCGATTTTGGATATCCCTATCTCTTTCGTAATCAACTTCACTTGCGCATTGAACAGAGACTGTTTCGCATAGGCGATGACTCGGTTCTTGCCGTCTTGTTTCTGTATGAGGACTGCTCCAACGGCGATGTGACTGGTGTCGACCCAAATATCAAAGGGCTGGTCGAAGTCTGGGTTAGCTAGGATTCGAGGTGAGACGAGACTGCACGTCGCAATTACATGCCCAGACGAATGTCTCGTCAGTGACCAATGCTGAAAGTGTCACTGCGATCTTGGAGAAATCTCGGGCGAATCGTTGAAAGTAACTTGCGAGGCCGAGTAAGGCACATACTTCTGACACGCCTTCCAGTGGTTTGACTCGCAGTACCTCTCATGGTTCGGGATTATACCAGCAGGCGCAATGAAATGTCCCAGGAATGGTACGGACGAGCGACCCTATTTGCATTTGGACATCTTGAGCTTGAAGCCAGCTTTTCTGAACTTGGCCAAGACTTGGGTGAGTGGGACCAGATGTGGACCGAATTCTTCGCTAAGGACGATGCAGTCGTCGAAAAAAACGAGGCATGTTCGACACTTATAGTCGATCAAGATATGCTCCATGAGAGGCTCGAAGCGTGGGACTGCATTACAGTAATGACGAGCCATTTAGTAAATTTCGTACTTGCATGTAAATGCAGTCTTCTCAATGCTTCCCGGGGACATCATCTGGACGTTCCAGTATCCAGACGCGATGTCCATGATAGAGAATAGTTTGTCTCGTCCGAGTACGCCCAGAAGGTCGTCGATACGGGGCATCGGATACGCGTCCTTGAATGTGACGCTGTTCGGCTTGCGGTAGTCGATACAAATACGGATAGATTAGTCCAGCTTCTTGATCATGAAAACGGGACAGGCCCCGGGGCTCTTGGACAGACTGATTAGAGAATAGGTCTAGGTACTGGTTTAGTTCGGCCTCCATGATGTCGCTTTTAGCCTTGGACGAGCGGTATGCGGCGTTTCGGATCGCTTGCGCATCGCTTGTGTCGATACTGAACTCCACAATGTGAGTCTTTCCAAGGGTATTGAACGTGTCAAAAATATGTGGCGAACTTAATCAAGGTCTTTCGGAGGAGTTATCGTTGGTCCATGCTAAGACTTGATTCGGACCAGTCGATGGGCAATTCATTGGCTAGACTGGTCGTCGTTTGTACTTGGCAGACGATGTTGGGGGCCCCAATTTGAGTGAGGACCCTCCTGGGTGCTCCATGTGGAGTCGAGTCAAAGGAATCATGGGCTGCAGGCTCGACTTGTCTGGTCGTGAATGAAACTCGTCTCGACGTGAACGAGTCGGATTGGGACAGGAAGATTGTGGACGCTCGGTAAACGTCTGTAGTAGCGTCATCGCCATCCAAGTTCCAAGAGGTGTGTTGATTTGTAACGTCAGAGGTTCATGTGAAGCATTTGCCAGTTCGACCAGTTCCGTATTGGAGTCGTTTTGCAGTCTAAAGCCGCTGCAATCTGGGCCAGCGCATTCGTTCGGGGTTCCACGAAAACGAATTTGTTGAGGGGGGATCCTGTCCAGCCAGGCATGATATGTGACGAATCGATCGAGGAGGGATGGCAAGCGTCTCGGTCACGGTAGTCAGTCCGACTGGGTGGGAGATAGGGATCGATACATCGAGACTGGCTCGAGGGAAAGATGTGGCGTTCGAGTCGAGTCTAATATTGAAGGATAGACAAAAGACGAAAGTCCTTAATCCGACTTAACAACAGAGATCGGGAATATAAGATCGTTTGTAGCCGGATTACATAGGACTTGACGGGTTCGGCCATGGAGCGCTCAGGTTGTCCATATAGTCGCGAGGAATGCTACTGCCTAACTGGTCCACAAAGCTATCGTGGTCACCGCCTTTCGTCTTGGAGTAAGCGATCCACCAGGCGTTCAGGGTAGCGGGAGTCTTGTCGGCCGAGAGCTTCAGACCAAGAAGGGACTTGCGTTCGTTGTCGGTCAGACCACCACGGTCAGCTTGTTCCACAAGCTGCTTCATGAAGTTCTCGCAGTGATCTTGGGCGTTCGACGACGGGATGGCACAGCGTGACCAAAGGCGATCCAGCCTGCAACTTCTTATGGACAGAGGTATCAACAGCCACATGCTCCTCATGCCATGTAGCCTCATGGTCAACCAGCTCTTCAATCGAACCCGATGAGAACGCCGAAACAAATGTATGGTGCAGGATGCGCTCGCGCTGGTCATATCCCGGTGGTTATCTCTTCGAAACCCGACGAAATCACGGTCAGCGACCAAAACGTCTGTGGCCGATGTGACCACCTCGACCACGGAACTAAGGAATGCCCTCGTCAGAGCATGCGTTACAACTTTTATGGCCATATGGGACAATACCCAGGAGAATATGTCAGATTTTCCACCTCTGCGGTCAGCCTGGGCCCACCGCCACCAAGTGCCCGTCCAAGCCCACGAAATAAGCTTGAGGCTTTGGCGCTGAGACGAACCCTACGGGAACAGGCTTCGTCTCAATTTGCCACACTCAGCACGCTACTTCACAGCCTGAGAACAAGGCATCTTCCTTTTCTTGTAGGCGAAGCCAAATAGCTGCGACTTCTGGGTGGGGGCTGAGTTGGACGAGTCAAGGCCTCGACAAACCCTTGCTGGACTTGGTTCGAGCGTTCGATCAACGCGACGAACGTCTTTAGCTTTTGGGTCTGATTCGTCGTCAATGGCTCGAGTAGTTGTCGCATCGTCACTTGGTCTTCAAATTCGACGTGAGACCTACGGCGCGGTACATGAGGTGACTCCGGTTGAGTCGGGCGTTCACTGGTGGTAGAACGGGACGAAGCCGACGTAGAGACCGAAGAGTTGGATCGAGGCTTGGCGTACCCCTGGGGCTTGGCAGTAACCTCGTCCAGATGTGTCGATAGCCTGCTTGACGTCAGCCACTTTACTGGACATTTTGGTCAAGAGAGCATTCATTTGGATGGTATCTGAAAAGGGTAGCCCGGGGATGTTTTGGATGAGTCGCGAGTCAGGCTAGTCGAGGCCGGTCGAGGCCGGTCGTGACGAGGATTCGGGTGCAGGGGTCTCAGCTTGGGCTAGACGGGACGAGAAGTCTAGACTGAGTCGATCGATGCGTGCTTCGAGAAGTAGCACGTGGTCTTGCAGAAGGGACATGTCGTGGACGAGGGATGAGCCGCAATCGTGTAAGAGTTGGATTTCCTGGCGAAGCGCTTCGAGGCGGGGTCGAGTGTCGTCGGGAACGGCTGATGTTACAGGGAGTTGTTCGAGCAAGAGACAACTGAGAGCTTGGACGTCAGACGAGAGATGCTGAAATTCGTTGGAGACGCGACCTGCGTACGAGTGAAGAGCGATCTGAAGTTGAGCGATGGCCGAAGCTTGACTTTGCAACGAAGGGTGCAGTTAGAAATGACACGGGTATTCAGGGGGATTACCGTAGGATCTGAAACCGCCAAAATAGAATCTCGAAGGCTATTCACCGAAATGTCCAATGCCTTTTGCTCAAGGTAGATCGACGAATCGCCTCGATCCAGTGATTGGTTCCGTTCGGTCACGTATCAACAGGGTTACAGAGGCGGACAATTCGTCGATAGCAGCTGACTACCAGACACGGTTGACGAAGAGTTTCGTCCCGTCGGTTCGAATGGCCGTGATAACGGCTTGGTGCTCGAAGGACGAGGCTCGCAAGGTTTGGACTTGATCAGAAACATGGTCTGAGGATTGAGGCTCGCAATTCTAGACTTGCGAGACCTGCACAGGTCGGATAACTGGTGACCGCTTCCGTAGCTGTAGTAGCTTCCACGATCGAATTGTTGTTGGTCTCCATTTCACCAAAGTCGTTTAGAACGATATGCATGGGAGGCATCGTCAATTTTGTCGGGCAAGTCGATCCCCATGGTCTCGTCGTTCTGTACGACAGGAGCCAGACCAAAAGTTAGGATTGATACAACTACCATCAAGTGCTGCTGACGTTCCACGATCAGTTGATGCAAACGCACCATGCCGGAGGACTGACTGGGAACTTTATTCGAGCTAGCTTCGACGCCCATGGGTTCGTTTCGACGGTTCGACGAGGTTTGGACATTCATTAGGCGAGGAAAGGTTTCGTCAATCGCCGGCTCCATGCAAACGACGGGGGACAATCCCAAAGGCAAGGCTGGATTGTAGACTGCCGATTCATGTGCAAAGCTCGATGCAGGCAGAGTCAAACGAGTCATCGTAGGTGAGTCAAAACGTGATCGCGTCTGGTCCAAGGCCAGACTGGTTTCATAGCTCTCGACGGAAGCTCGACATACTACAGTCAGCTGGCGATTCGTGTCAAGCTGGACCGTGTGTGTAGCTACCACGTGAGTCGACTCCGCAAAGAGAGGCAAGCCAGGGGTGGGGTAGACACTTCAGCCACGGACAATTTGATTCCGACTGCACTCCAGTTGCAAGGATTGACAAAGGCCCAGCCAGATCTTGGGCTGGACGAGATGTACTCGTCCCCCTGAGTCAAAATGCGGGGCTGAGCTTGCAGCAGTAAACGGAACAATCGACATCTCTTCGTCGTAGTTTTCAGTCAGCATGGAAACGTCTGACATGGATTCATCGAAGCTTGCTTCGATCGCATTGTCTGTATATACCAGGTCTTCGGACGAGCTACGGGGCTCTATGGGTAGGTCACTGTCGCGGTCAAGGACGCCGGTGAGGTTGCAATGAGCAGTGTTCAAGCTACGTTCAACGGCCTCGTCCGTGCCTTCCGTCGCTTTGGTTCGTTTCTCCAAGCCTCTTGTTCGGGTGAGTTGGAGTGGTGTTGAATTCGGTAGTTGCTGTCACGCTTCAGCTGTTTTTGTACTGGGGTGCTTTGGGCTGGTTCAGACTGAATTTTGCACTCTTCATCAGAGCTGCAGCTCAGTAGGATTTCGTCGTCAGCCACGCTCACGAGGTCAAGGCTCATATCGGTCAGGGCTGGGTCGGCTGAGGTAACATCCGTGCCGTCTGAGATGACTTCTACAGGAGGTGGATCCTTAGGCCATTGTACATTCAGGTCTGCTGGATTTCTTGGTTTGACAGGAGCGTCACCCTCTTCTCCACCAATTTTGTGACGGTCGTAGGGGTTAGAGCACAAACTTTCGAAGGTTCGGACTTTAGGACCGGATTCTCTCGGATTTACCAACAGGAGCACAGCAAGCAAGGAGTAGATCCAATGTTAAGCAAATGTATAAGTGAACTATCTAAGGTCAAGAGACCTCTGGGGAAGGACAGTCGAATTCGAAGATAATCGACCAATCGAACAAATATACCTCTGTGACGGCAGTTTTACGAGGTCATTTGGCAGCGCAAGTCCAGGTACGACTCCGTCACACGGGGACTTGCTTTTCCGCACGTGGCCGGATTTCTTGGGTGGGGCAAACAATTCGTCCATTTACGCGACTTGGTCGCGTGCAAGTGACTTGGTGCCCGCATCAAGTCAATATCATGTCGTACACTTTGTCTTTGGAGAGACAGACTCGTGATGACACCATATCATTGCCATCCATGGCGGCGTCCGTATCATCGTCATCCGTGACGGAAACTGTGTCCAACCTCGAAGTCCAGGTGGTGGGACACGTGACTACGCCTGGTGCGCCGCCGTTATGCGTCACCAAAACAGGCAAAGGAGTGAGTTCATTACTCATCACGCCTAGGTCAGTTGAAGGGTCGACGGATGCCATTTTGAGCGTCGTCGTCTTGGATCGCGAATCGATCCAGGGTGGGTGTTTCTTCAAACATCGCATGCCAAATATCAAGTCAAAGCAGTCAACGAGGTCGACGACATAGAATTTTTCGGTGGAGATAAATTATCCGACCGACGTAGGAAGATCAACAGGGACCTTCAGCGAGGTGACAACATTGCCGTCAGACATCTTCACACGCACGTCAGAGTGCGGTGAAGCGCGCCAGATAGCGTCATCATCGACGGAACGATTTCGTTAAATCGAAGCGCGTCGGATATAATTTCGACGTGCACGCGGAACAAATAGTCGTACCCAATGATATGCCTGGTGAAAGAAACTTGCAGAAAAATTGGCCGAGGCAGGACCCGTTGCTTATGTTATGCCACCACGATCAAACAGCAGGCCCACTGTAGCCTCCTATATTTAATTAGGATGCCTCGCGGCTACTGTGGAGTCCCGTGTCCCTAACCGCGCGATCACCACTCGCGACAATGAGACGACCAAAGCGGGGGGCCAAAGTAAAAGGCAATAATAAGAGCAGGTGCCACTCGCGTGAGTGCGGACAGCATCTTCGAATGTCGAAGGATTTGTGCAATAATGCTGCATGCCGGCAGCCTAATCCTTGGAAACTTTCACGACTGTTGCCACCTTGGATTATCTGAGGCAAAGTCTTGTAGTAGACACACGACGCAACGAAACGTTGTTATACTCGCGAATAGAGCGTTTACCTTGCTTGACAAATAGGAACTCCAAGTGGAAGCGAAACTTAGCAAAGCTGCCTTCAACTGTTCGATGAAATCATTGGAAGTGATGTTTTCGAACAGTCTTTCTAACTTTACTCCATGCTATATCATCCGCACGACGATTGAGGTGCGACATCTCGAAGACACGCGGATCATATCTTCGTCGTTGTTCAAAACATTCGTTGTGCCATCAACTTGTTCATCCAATGGAGCAGTTGATATGAGACTGGTTCTCCGTAATTGGGGACTATAAGCTTGAGGACGTGTGTCTGCACCATCGAAGCCGGCTGCGTGTTATAAAAAGCAATATCATCAAGGCGAGGAAATCGATCAAGGAGTTAGCCCTTTCTGGAGGCGCCTTGTTACCAATGGGAATTGTGTGTTTGGTTGTAATCGGATCCCATTACAACTTCCTATTACACGTGCCGACCAAGTCACCCGTGTAATAGACCATCCCTTGGTATGAATTTTGAAGCCAGCGGCTTGCTTCGCGTGATGATGATTGCGGGAATTCGTTTTGAGACTTCGCCGTCCAAACTACAGTCATGTACCATGAATATTAAATTAGAGGGGATACATTGCATATAACGTTAGGAGGACTGTCTTACCGTAGTATTATTGTTGGTGAGCAGGAAGTCCTATGAAAATTTATTTTTTCCAACTAGGCGAATATATGTGTTAATGGAGGTTCCTACTGGAAAAGTCGACTAACGTTAACGTTAGTTAGTACAGAAGTCGGATGGCATTAATACAGCCTGTACATGGAATTGTGATTTGTCCATAAAACCTATACTACGTACAGTACTTAGTCCTATTAATAGTAACTCACAAAATAGGCTGAAGTAAAGGAGATCAGGATAACGTTAACGTTAGCAAGATGGACGACTTTGGAAGGTGCTATACTGTGTTTCAGGATATAGTTACCAACTCGGTTATACATACAATTAAGCTTATTGACAGAAAACTTATCACTCTGCAGCAATACATGCACTACGTAGTAATACAACTAGTTGCCGCACCAGTACGCTCCCAAGCTCGCGTACGTGGCACAGATTGTTTGAGTGTACGCAGGGGGGAAGCAGTGGTTCAGCGTAGGGTAGAAGCACCTAGAGCAGCCACCGCACTTGGACGGCGAGACAGTCGTAGGGGCGTCAGTGGGGGCCACCGTAGAAACTTTGGCAGTGGTAATAGGAGCCACAGTAGGGTTCGTGGTAATCGGGGCTGCGGTAGGGGCTGCAGTAGGGACGTTGCTGGTGGTAGGGGCATTGCTGGTGATAGGGGCTGCGGTAGGAGCAGTCGTGGGGGGCACAGTAGGAGCCTTGGTCGTAATGGGGACAGCGGTGGGGGACGTGGTGATGAAGGGTTCAATAAAGTCGCGGGCGATGGAGATGCGACTATACACACCAGGCTTGTCCTGCTGGGCACATCCGATGCCCCAGCTGACCACTCCCACCAACTTGGCAGTTCCGTTGGTTTCCACCGTCAACGGTCCACCAGAGTCGCCTTGGCACGAATCTTCGCCCAACTTGCCGCCCGCACACAGCATGGCTTCATTCACGGTGTATCCGGTCAACAGCTTGGCGCATTGGTCGTTGCTGATGGAATCCACGCCGACTTCCAGCAGCACTTCAGAAGTCACTCCGCCCGAAGACGTACGGCCCCACCCGCGCACAATCGTGGGGGTGCCAGGCGCCACCGTGTCAAACGAGACCTCGACCGGAGGGAACTTGGACGGTTTTTCCAAGATCAAGATGGCAAAATCATGGCTCGTGGTGGCGGCGTTGTACTTGGGGTGCTTGATCGCTTGCTTCACCTTGATGCGCTCACCGTCTTTGGTGCCGCTTCTGTAGTGCGACCCGATCGACACAAAGTTGAGACTTCCGATGCAGTGGGCGGCGGTCAAGACGACGTTGGGGGCGATCAAACTGGATCCACACGAAGCAGCCCCCGTCTCGGTCCGGCGATAACCAGTCACGTACAAGTGCTGGCCAATCGCAGCTTCCGTGCCGCCGACAATTTCTTGTTGGGCGACAACGGTCGTGGAGGCAGCGAAGAGAGCAGACAACGCAAACAGAACGTTCATGGCAAGTGGCAAATTCAAAAATGAAATCTGAGCGAAAAGTCCAAGCAGCCCGAGCTCAGAAAGTCATCCGCGACGATGATAGATACCCTTTAAGCTAATCTGAGCTGACTGTATCAGTAGCTCCTGTCCGGCCCGGCCACTCACGGTAGTAGCATGATTTGGTGAATCTGAGCAACAAATAACGGAATGTCAGTCCATGGAACGTGTTGATGCTCGGTATTTCATACTCGTACTATGTATTTTGGACTCGAATTAACATAAGCTTAACATTCATTCAAGTACTGTACTACATGTATTGGGCTCCAGTCAACGTGTACTAAGTTGTATGAATGTACCCGTATAATGGTATAGAAAGGGGGTGTTCATCACAATTCAAGGTTAAAGTGCTGTACATACAGTACCAGTACAGTTAATTGTACAGTTCTACTGTAGTGATGCTGCTAAGGAGGAACACGATTGTAAAGTACGAGTACAGTACGTACTAATACTGTCGAACGTTCCCTGTTGATACAGCTGTTGATGTATTTACATCAATCACATAACAACCTGATAATGGATCGTACTACCGTACATTGTACCATGAGTTAGTATTAATGCACGGGGCGACACAAATTAACCAAACTCAACCAAGTACACAGCTCAAAGCGTCTCGATGTGATACAGTTTACTACTCTGGTATTCCCTAAGCATTGAAATTACTGCTTGTTACTTGGACGTTACATTAGGCCGATGTCGCCAATACATCCACTCAAAGAGCAATAGGGGCTCACTCATGAGGAGGCTGTACTAGTACGTACTAGAAATAAGTACATACTCAGCGTTGGAGACGTGGTTGGGTGATTGATGCTTATAACAAATGATGGTACAGTATCTGCATACCCAAGTCTAAATGTGACACGTACTCTGAATGTTAATTACGAGACGAACGAAACTCGATCTATGGACGAAACTTGGAACAATTCCCTCGCTGCAACAGTAGTACTGTTGTTACGTAATCATTTTTACCAAAGGCCCCTATAACCCCGGAACCCCTGAACCCCTTGCGCTTACATAAAATGCTATTCCCGGGGTTAAGCTGCATCACCAGTGGTTCGCTAGCGCTAACCACTGAGATGCTCTTAACCCCTAGCTGAAATGAGTTGTTTTGAATTTACACTTGATTTGACTATGTGCCAGAAATAACGTGTGTTTTGTATGGCAGGAGG